TCATTGGTGTCTGAGGAAGGAATAGTGCCCCATCATTGGTGTCTGTGGAAGGAATAGTGCCACATCATTGGTGTCAGTGGGAGGAATAGTGCCCCATCATTGGTGTCTGTGGAAGGAATAGTGCCCCATCATTGGTGTCAGTACAAGGAATAGTGCCCCATCATTGGTGTCTGTGGAAGAAATAGAGACCCATTGTTGGTGTCTGCGGAAGGAATAGTGCCCCATCATTGGTGTCTGTGGAAGAAATAGAGCCCCATCGTTGTTGTCTGTGGAAAGAATAGTGCCCCATCGTTGGTGTCTGAGGAAGGAATAGTGCCCCATCATTGGTGTCTGTGGAAGAAATAGAGACCCATCATTGGTGTCAGTACAAGGAATAGTGCCCCATCGTTGGTGTCTGTGGAAGGAATAGTGCTCCATCATTGGTGTCAGTGGAAGGAATAGTGCCCCATCGTTGGTGACTGAAGAAGGAATAGTGCCCCATCATTGGTGTCTGTGGAAGGAATAGTGCCCCATCATTGGTATCAGTGGGAGGAATAGTGCCCCATCATTGGTATCAGTGGGAGGAATAGTGCCCCATTCTTGGTGTCTGTGGAAGAAATAGAGACCCATCGTTGGTTTCTGTGGAAGGAATAGTGCCCCATCATTGGTGTCTGTGGAAGGAATAGTGCCCCATCATTGGTGTCAGTGGGAGGAATAGTGCCCCATCATTGGTGTCTGTGGAAGAAATAGAGACCCATCGTTGGTGTCTGCGGAAGGAATAGTGCCCCATCATTGGTGTCTGAGGAAGGAATAGTGCCCCATCATTGGTGTCTGTGGAAGAAATAGAGACCCATCATTGGTGTCAGTACAAGGAATAGTGCCCCATCATTGGTGTCTGTGGAAGGAATAGTGCTCCATCATTGGTGTCAGTGGAAGGAATAGTGCCCCATCGCTGGTGTCTGAAGAAGGAATAGTGCCCCATCATTGGTATCAGTGGGAGGAATAGTGCCCCATCCTTGGTGTCTGTGGAAGGAATAGTGCCCCATCATTGGTATCAGTGGGAGGAATAGTGCCCCATCCTAGGTGTCTGTGGAAGGAATAGTGCCCCATCCTTGGTGTCTGTGGAAGGAATAGAGACCCATCGTTGGTGTCTGTGGAAGGAATAGTGCCCCATCGTTGGTGTCAGTGGAAGGAATAGTGCCCCATCATTGGTGTCAGTGGGAGGAATAGTGCCCCATCATTGGTGTCAGTGGGAGGAATAGTGCCCCATCATTGGTGTCTGGGGAAGGAATAGTGCCCCATCATTGGTGTCTGGGGAAGGAATAGTGCCCCATCCTTGGTGTCTGTGGAAGGAATAGTGTCCCATCCTTGGTGCCACATCCAGGCCGCAGTTTGGAGACCATTGCCTTAGAATGTGGTGAGGCCATTGAGCAAGGCTTGGTAATACCTGGTGGCAACACATCAAGGTGCATGTTATAGGCGATTTAATGAACTGCCATTGACTTGCGCAGGCCTTCATTTAGGTTTGTGCGTATAAGTGTGGTGGCGTGTTTTGACGCATGCTTTCAGTGTGGTTCCTTTTTGAGAGTTTGGAGTGGATAGGGTTACCAGCCATTGGCCAAGGCTTGCTAATATCTGATCGCAATGCATGGAAGTGCATGTTATATGGGTTTTGATGAGCGCAATGGACTTCATTTAGGTGTATGCCTGTAAGTGCGTTAGGTAGGTGCACTGACATGCGTTTTGATGCACTTTTTTAACTTGGTATTTGGAGTGGATAGGGTTAGCAGCCATTGACCGAGGCTTGTTAATACCTGCTGGCTACGCATCAATGTGCGCACGTTATATGCATTTTAATGAATTGCCATTGACTTCTACAGGCCTTTAATAATGTCTATAAATGCGTTAGGCAGGTGCATTGACATGCATTTTGATGCACTTTTTCAGTGTGGTTCTTAATGTAGAATTTGGACTGGATGGGGTTAACAACCATTGACAAAGACTTGTTAATACCTGTTGGTAATGCATGAAACTACATGTTAAATGCTTTTCAGTGAACTGTCATTGACTTCTACCGGCCTTCATTTAGGTCTATGCCTGCAAATGGGTTAGGCAGGTGTGTCGACATGCGTTTTGACCCACGCTTTCAATGCGGTTCTTAATTTAGAATTTGAAGTGGATAAGGTTAACCATGGACAAACTTCTACCAGCCTTCAGGCTCAGTTTGCACCTATGCAGGCTGCGTTTGAGCCGTTTCTCGTTCAGGAGTGGATTCTACTGGCGTTTCAAACGCTAAACGCGTTTAACCGCATTTATAAGCGTTTGCATTTAGAAGGGTTTTTTAACTGTTCCATGTCCAGATGCTGTCCAGAGCCTTTTTTGATCATCAGAAATGCATGCAAAGTGTTTTACATGTATTCAAATGGACCCGGTACACCAGCGCAGTCAGTTCGAGGTTTTGCATGAAGGAAAAAATGGCAGAACGTGCCGCATTATGCTCATGATGGGATCCATAGTGACTACAACCAGAAAAGACAGGTCATCTCAACACATACTGCTCTATCTGCTCCTGCTCTCTCTATTCCTCTCAAAATGTCTGAAATAGTTAATTTTTTACTGTTTTTCAGTGCATTCTGGGCATTTTGGAAGGTCTCCTGAGGTTATCTTTTAAAAAACGCTTCTAAACGCAAACACACATAAATGCGTATAAATGTGGTATGCAAACGCGGCTAAACTGATGTTTTTTTAACCTACGTTTTCCAGCAGTCAGTTTCCATCGTTCAGAAGAGTTTTCCAAATGCCCCGTGTACATGAGCCCTAAATGAAAATAAAGCCAGGTTGACACTTATGCAGTTTGCGTTTGATCCGTTTCTGCAGTGCGTTTTTGCACATGCGTTTTTTATGTGATTTGCGGATTTTTAAATATTATTTATTTTTTGTTGCTAGGCAGATTTAAACCTCAAAACCCATCGAAAACGCATCAGAAAAGCAGCAAAAGCACAGCACATGCTTTTCTGCAGCATTTCCATTGAAGTCTATAGAATAAAAAATTCAACTTTTTGCATTCAAAAAAGCCCCTGACCAGGGGCGGACTAACCATTTGGAAACTCAAGGGCCCGAGGTCAGTAGGGGGCCCCATGAGATGCCCCTGGTACCTTTTTCATAGGCTTTTTTGAGTTTGGGCAAGGACACAGGGGCCCCATGGTCCCCTATTGCCCGGGGGCCCCATGAGTTGTCAGTCCGCCCCAGCCCCTTTCCAAAAAATGCACCGGATGAAAACGCGGAGATGTGAACGTGCCCCATAGGAAATCATATCAAATGAACTGTAGGTCATCTCAACACATACTGCTCTCTCTGCTTCTGCTCTCTCTATTCCTCTCAAAATGTCTGAAATAGTTAATTTTTTACTATTATTCAGTGCATTCTGGGCATTTGGGAAGGTCTCCTGAGGTTATCTTTTAAAAACGCTTCTAAACGCAAATGCACATAAACGCGGTATGCAAACGCGGCTAAACTGACGGTTTTTAACCTATGTTTTCCAGCAGTTTCCATCGTTCAGAAGAGTTTTCCAAACGCCCCGTGTACACGAGCCCTAATGGTGCAGCAAATGTGGCAGGCAGCTTTAGCGTGTTTAGTAAACGCGCGCAAAAGAAAACGCAATTTTGCAGGTGTTTACAAAACGCATAGGCGTGAAAGCAGCCCTTATGAGGAACCCACACACATGCATTTTTAGCACATGCGCTAAAAAGCAACAGTGTAAATGGGCCCTTGGGATGAATTCCTGTCATATCACTGCTACAAGCTCCAGGTCCTCCATTAGTAGAAAATGCTGAGACTTGTAGTTCACCAGCTGGATCCAGTGTCCAGCATATATAGACATTGCCCCCCTGGGATGACCATTGTCCTTGATTGTCCCCTGTGTCATCCATCATTGTTTTGGGCTGTTTTTTTGTCAGGAAGTTGGCCACCCTTCTCCGCCTTGCTGCCCCATCTCCTCAGCAGCAGGGTGGGGCAGGGCACTTGCTCTTTTCTTGGTGGGGGGGGGGGTTGTCTGTGGTTCTTGTGTAGCTGTGTACACATGTGCTTGTGTATTGTGTGTGATGTCCCCACTCACATAAAGTGATTAATTAGGCGCACAAAGGGCGGACTCAGACAATGAGTTTGTATGTGAATCTTCCATTCACCCTTGGGGGCTTTTCATGTAAATGAGCCAGCCAAAGGGAGGGCGGGTATCCTTTTATTCACTAATGAGTGGTCCTTAGTGGGGAACAGCCATATCCTGTGCAAGACACAGCCAGGGAGATTTTCACTTCAATGGTTAGAAAGGGCGGCCATTTTGGATCTGTTCTCCTTGTTTACATTATAGCTTCGGTGTGAATTCAGACCTGGCAGTGACTCTGTCCTGTGCCATTGACCTCTGGGGTTCCTCATATGTTAGGCTCCATGCACGCGGGGCATTTTAATAACGCTGGTAATGTTAGCTGTGTCAAGTCACGTTAAAAACGGGTTTTTTCAGCGTTTTTGTATTAGCGGTTTACCGCGTTTTGTCACGTTAGAGCGTTTTTACAGCTAAAAGCTCCTCTAGAAACCCACTGGTCCTGGGTTTTTTTTCCAGCCAAAAAACGTTGATTCCAGTCTAGGTGTGTATGGACACATAGGATAACTTGCTGGGGGGTTTGCTGGCTGTAGAAAAAAATGCCAAAAAACAGCCGCTGTAAAAACGTCCCGTGTGCATGAGGGCCTAGCATCAGAGCAGCCATTTTGTAAGGTTAACCCCTTGCCTACCGGACACTTATACCCCCTTCCTGCCCAGGTCAATTTCCAGCTTTCAGCGCTGTCGCACTTTGAATGACAATTGCGCGGTCATGCGACACTGTATCCATATGAAATGTTTATCATGTTTTTGAGACAGATAGAGCTTTCTTTTGGTGGTATTTAATCACCTCGGGATTTTTTTTTTTTGCTAAACAAACCAAAAACAACTGAAAATTTTGTAAATAAAAAGTTTTTCTTAGTTTTTGTTTTAAAATTTTGTAAATAAGTGATTTTTTTCTCCTTCACTAATGTGCGCTAATGAGGCTGCAGTGATGGGCACTGATAGGCTGCAGTGATGGGCACTGATAGGTGGAACTGATGGGAACTGATGAGAAGGCACTGGTAGGTGGCACTGATGGGCATTGACAGGCATCACTGATGGGCACTGAAAGGCAGCACTCATATATGGCACTGATAGGCGGCACTGACTGGCACTGATAGGGGGCACTGACTGGCACTGAAAGGCAGCACTCATATATGGCACTGATAGGTGGCACTGACTGGCACTGATAGGCGGCACTGACTGGCACTGATAGGCAGTACTGATGGGCACTGATAGGTGGCACTGACTGGCACTGATAGGCGGCACTTATTGGCAGCACTGATAAGTGGCACTGACTGGCATTGATAGGTGACACTGAAAGGCAGCTCAGATTGGCACTGATATGTGGCATTGATGTGCACTGGTAGGCACTGATATGTGGCATTGATGTGTCACTGATGGGCACTGGCAGGTGGCACTGCTGGGGCTACATTAATCATCAGGGCACACTGATCATCAGTGCCCTAATGATCCCGTCTGAGGAATGCCGATAGCATTTCCCTATTTACATGTGATCAGCTGTGATTGGACACAGCTGATCACATAACCGAGCCGACATCTTCGGCTCTTTCCGTTGATCAGTGATCCACTGGGTCCGAAGGATACAGCGCACCGCCGATCACCGCACTGCATGCCCCCAGAGCCGCGCATGCGTGGTTAGACTGGACGTCCTCCCAGAACGAGAGAACCATCATTTTCTTTTATGGCGGGTGGGAGGCGGTTAAAGTGGTATTAAACTTTAAAAAATTTAAAAAAAAAGCTGACAGGCTGTTTTTTTTAATGATAGAAGAGACCTCAATGGTCCCATCTGCCATAAATATTTCCCCCTGACTGTCAGCAGTAATGTACACTGAGCTGTGCATGTGCAGTGCAGAGGACATTGCACTAAGCAGAGGACTAAGCACATGCATTGGTGTGACGTCATCACGTCTCAGCCATTCTGCAGGACTTCTCCAGGACTTCCCCCATCCTCTGGAACTCCCTACCCCAATCCATCAGACTGCCACCTACCCTCCTCACCTTCAGGTGCACCCTGAAAACCCATCTCTTCATGGAAGCCTACCCCACCCTCACCTAACAGCCATTCTCCTCCACTCCATTCCCCACAGCCACTTCCTCCTGTACCTCTACCCCCCTCCCTCCTAGATTGTAAGCTCAAAAGAGCAGGGCCCTCAAACCCCTCATGTATTGTATTGTTACTGTATTGTCTCATGTTCTGTCCCCAACTATAATGTACAGTGCTGAGCAAACCTTTTGGTGCTATATAAATACTGTATAATAATAATAATTCAAGCGGTCGAACACAGCAAACCCAGAAAAAAGACCAGGAGAAGATGGCCCAGTGGCACTGACAGCCAGCACCACTGGGGGTGTTCCACCAACAGCGACCACATAATGTACATACTAGTACATTAAAGCTGCAGGGGCCCGGAAAAAAAATCAACGCATTTCAATAGGGGCAGCACAGTGGCTAAATGGTCAGCACTTCCGCCTGGCAGTACTGGGGTCATTGGTTCAAATCCCAACCACAGCACCACCTGCCTGGAGTTTGCATGTTTCTCCCTGTGCCTGTGTGGGTTTCCTCTGGGTACTCCGGTTTCCTCCCACACTCCAAAGACATGCTGGTAGGTTAATTGGCTCCTGTCTAAATTGGCCCTAGTATGTGTATGTATGAATGTAAGTTAGGGACCTTAGATTGTACACCCCTTGAGGGTTAGGGACTGATGTGAATGTACAATATATATGTAAAGTGCTGCGTAAATTGATGGCGCTATATAAGTACCTGAAATACATAAATAAAACACTACATTGAGGCTCCGTGCACACTTCACAATTCAGAATCGTGGGCAGAGTCGCTGTGAATCCAAATCGCGTGGCAGTCGCTGTACAACATGCGTTTAGGTGCCATTATCCTTTTTTATCGCACTCCCACGCGCGATGCGATTATGCAGTGACTGTCATGCAACATGATCGCACGGCAAACTGCGCCTTTAAAAGCGCACAAAGCTTGTCGCCCCAAAAATGAGCAGGAGCTTCTTTTTTGGGCGCAAAAAGCACATGCGGCAGCCTATTTAGGTGAATGGACTGGCCCAATGAAACACGCAGAATCCCACGAGAATCGGACTTTGAAAAAATACAATATTTGAATGGGGCCTAAAGGATAACTAACGCAAGAACAAGGCAGCACAGTGGCTAAATGGTTAGCACTTCTGCCTGGCAGCACTAGGGTTGCTGGTTTGAATCCCAACCACAGCACCACCTGCCTGGAGTTTGCATGTTCTCCCTGTGCCTGTGTTGGTTTCCTCCAGGTACTCTAGTTTCCTCCCACACTCCAAAGACATGCTGGGAGATTAATTGGCTCCTGTGTAAATTGTCCCTAGTATATGTATGTATGAATGTAAGTTAGGGACCTTAGACTGTACACCCCTTGAGGGTTAGGGACTGATGTGAATGTACAATATATATGTAAATTGATGGCGCTATATAAGTACCTATAATAAATAAAAATATAACATATTGCAGCTTAGATGTGGTTGCTGAATTAAATTTTATTTTTTTCAGACATTTTCAACAAATACAGAAATTACCTGTTGATCCTGCCAGATGTGCTGCATCCTTGTCACTTCCTGTGAGCTGCAATGAAGAATGTCTTCCTTCCTAGCTATCTTTGTAAACTGCCATTTGCCTTGCACCCCGTGTAATGGAGACAAAGAGATACCAGCATATTTGGAGTCCACAACAGCAAGGCAGCCTAGGGTGCCGACCATAGCTCCCTCCATAGATACAGAGGAGGACAGAAGTAGCCACCCAGGGAAAGGAAGTGCATTATTTGCAGGAATACCAGGTGAAAATGAAGCAAAAGGCAGTTTAACAAGAAAACTAATGCAGCCACTACATCTAAGGGCTACATTGCTTTGGTCTCTTAGCCCTGATTCACACTGATGCGGGGCAGAATTCGCAGAGTTTTCTGCACTGCATCAGAATCGCACCCCGTTCATGCGAACCGCTGCGGGAGTGTATGTTAAGTTAAAAACCATCCAAAAGCGGTCCACAAAACGCTGTGTGATGTGCAGAATCAGATCGCATGGGTGTGAATACACATGCAATCCGCTTCTAGTGCGGACCAAAAAAGGGTCCTGCATCTTTTTGGTGCGGGTGCGGTGCGATTAGATGTATGGCTCCAATCGCACCGCACACAAATTGCATGTGATTTGTACAGGAATGCGGTGCGGTTCCTGTGCGAATCACATGCGATATACCGCACCGCATATATGTGAACCCGGGTTAAAGTGTGATCTGCATTTGGATCGTCCTTCATAGAGCATTGTATTACCTCCTCACTGTCTGCTTGAACCCCGCACTAGTGCCTTGCAACCACATGCCTTGCGCTTGAACGGGTTGCGCTGAGCCGGCACTTTATTGATGATGCTTATTAAGTTCCGAAGTCTCCGGTAATGACACATAGTTAACCATACATAGTAGCCTGCATCTGGTAGCCGAGGCATCCTGCATTAAACATAGCTGGGAAATGTGTAAATTAAATCCTGGGAACCTTTGGCTGCTGGGGCGATTTACTAAAATAGCGCAGTGTTCTCTTAGCCACGTCAACCTGTGTTCAGTGTGATTGCCCAATCATCTGCAAAGGAATTTTAAAGGGATTTTCTGAGGCCATGGCTGGATAATGAACACAGCTAAGTGGGGTAAAATTGTAAACCAATGTATCTATGTTCACTATACTGGGGTTGATTTACTAAATCTGGAGAGTGCAAAATATGGTGACGCTGTGTATGGTAGCCAATCAGCTTCCAACTTCAGCTTGTTCAATTAAGCATTGACAATAAAACCTGGAAGCTGATTGGTTTCTTTGCAGAGCTGCACCAGATTTGGCAGCATGCAGTTTTAGTAAATCTCCCACATACTGTTTTATTTGGCATTTCACTACATACCCAAATATTGGACGGTTACTGAGCTGTAAAACAAAAGTAAATTTGTTTGTGAGGTTGACAGTTTGGCTCTGTTAGAACAGGGCTCTCGATTTTGACAGCATATGGGAATGCTGAAGCTCACCGTAGTGTTCCTATGGTACAGTGTCCCTAACATTAATTCCCCAAAATACTTAACCATCCCAATCTCTGAACCATAATCCCTTGTCATAATATTAACCATCCAGACACACACACAGAGGCACACAAAGGGAACCTGATTGCTAATCTTCATTCTAACACTTGAACCATGACACCTTACCTTTATACTAACTTTTGACACCTATTCCAAACACTAGACCCCTGACGCCTATTCCAAACACTAGACCCCTGACACCTATTCCATACACTAGACCCCTGACGCCTATTCCAAATACTAGACCCCTGACGCCTATTCCAAACACTAGACCCCTGACGCCTATTCCATACACTAGACCCCTGACGCCTATTCCAAACACTAGACCCCTGACGCCTATTCCAAACACTAGACCCCTGACACCTATTCCATACACTAGACCCCTGACGCCTATTCCAAATACTAGACCCCTGACGCCTATTCCAAACACTAGACCCCTGACGCCTATTCCAAACACTAGACCCCTGGCGCCTATTCCAAACACTAGACCCCTGACGCCTATTCCAAACACTAGACCCCTGACGCCTATTCCAAACACTAGACCCCTGACGCCTATTCGAAACCATAGATCCCTGACACCTATTCCAAACACTAGACCCCTGACACCTGTTGCTAACTCTAACACTTGGCCACTGAGGTAAAACTCTCACCCTAACACTTGACTCCTGACTGCTAATGTTTGCTCTACCACTTGACCCCTGACACCTAACCTTACCCTAACACTTGAACCCTAACACATAACCCTTACCCTAACACTTAAGCCTGGAGATCTAACCCTCAACCTAACACTTGAACCCTGACACATAACCCTACCCTAACACTTGAATCCTCACACATAACCCTTACCCTAACACCTGACCCCTGACTCCTAACCCTCAACCTAACACTTGAACTCTGACACATAACCCTAACCTAACACTTGACCCCAACACCTAACCCTACCCTAACACTTGACCCCTGAGACCTAACCCTCAACCTAGCACTTGACCCCTAACACCTAACCCTACCCCAACACTTGACCCCTGAGACCTAACCCTCAACCTAACACTTGAATCCTCACACATAACCCTTACCCTAACACCTGACCCCTGAGACTTAACCCTCAACCTAACACTTGAATCCTGACACATAACCCTACCCCCTAACACTTGACCCCTGAGACCTAACCCTACCCTAACAGTTGACCCCTGACACCTAACCTTCAACCTAACACTTGAATCCTGACACATAACCCTACCCTAACACTTGACCAAGGAGACCTAACCCTACCCTAACAGTTGAACCATGACACATAACCCTCAACCAAGCACTTGACTCCTAACACCAAACCCTACCCTAACACTTGACACCTGACACCTAACCCTAAACCTAACACTTGAATCTTGACACATAACTCTACCCTAACACTTGAATCCTCACACATAGCCCTTACCCTAACACCTGACCCCTGAGACCTAAC